TGTTCTAGTTTTCTCATCCTCCCTTCCCCTTTCCACTATGTTATGTATCCCTTTTTCCTTTTCCGACTTGCTCTGTATGACGTTTTCTACTCTTGCTCTTACTTTCACTCCTTGGTTTTCACCTCTGTTTGCATTTTCCTCCTTTTCTTGTTCCTTTTCCCCTGTTTTCCACTCTTTGTATAATTCTGGCAAGCTTCTTAGAAACTTCCTTACGCTTTCTAGGTTTTCACTTTTCACTACCTCTCTTATGCTTAACCAGCTGTTCCTTTCACTGGGGCAAATCCAGAAACGACTTTCTTGTTTTTGGTCATTTGTCATGGTTGCATGAAGCTTTGTACATGATATATGTGATGTTTTACCTCATATTTCACAATCAATGCCCCTCATGTTTTCCCAAAGATTTTTTTCACATATACAACAGCCTTTATTCCTGGCCATGATTACTTTTAAAACAGGTGTATGTGGTGGTTGGTGTATTTATTATGTGCAGCTGGTGGTGGGGTGGCTGGTAGGTGGGATGGGTTGGGGAGAGGGTAGGAACAAAAGGAGGAGGGGGCTGTGCAGTGGGGTTGCAAGCTGGGAGATAGAGGTCTGTGGAAAGAAGGTAAGGGTGCGAGGAGGGGAGACTGTGGGTGGGAATTGTTTGATGGGTGGGGTAGGATCCGGGGAATGGGGTGGGGGCATGAGGCGGAGGATGGGGTGGGGGCACGAGGCGGAGGATGGGGTGGGGGGCACGAGGCGGAGGATGGGGTGGGGGCAACGAGGCGGGGGATGGGGTGGGGGCACGAGGCGGGGGCTTGGAGTTGGGGTGCGGGTGGCACTTTCAACTTGTTCCCATATAATTATACCATAGGTTTACACTACACTCGGGATTAAAAGGATTAACTCAGTTTACTATATCACTGCCTATTTATATCCTTTTCATCTATTCATTGTATGTGGTGTATCACTTGTCACATGTCAACACCAGGACAAGTAGATTGACCCACCACTGCCACACTTCACAATTGTTTTTTATTTTATTTTATTTCCTTTATTTTATCCCTGGTATTTTGTCACTGTTGTACACTGGTTATCTCAAGGATATACCTACAATGTATTCGTTCAAGATACTTTTCTTTTCTCTGCACTACACTGGGATGGTTATATTGTTCACACGGCACTAGACCTACGGTAACTTTCCTCTCCACTTCCATAGCAGTAGACTTAGGAGAGGTAACAGGGAAAAACACGTCACACAGTAGACTTATGCCTTTTCATTGATTTTATCTTAATTTATGTATACTGTGATTCCCTGCACCTCAATACTACCATCACTCGTTTTATTACTTTTGACTGTAGTAAATATTCCTCCGTTATTTCCACTTCTCTGGACCTCCGGCAATAGTTTGCTAGTGCCAGTTGCTTGTAAATATTCCCATATGCTACACCATATATTTTACGCTCTACTGGGGATAATTTAGATTACTCGTATCTACAATTTATTTCACTATGTCACTACACATATATATATTTGTTACTCGCCGTATTACTTATAGATAGTTCAATATCTGTATGTTTATTTCCACTTGTGTCAACATCTGGCAATAGTTCGCTAGTGCTGGTCAGGCTTATTTCCAGAGTAACTGTTGTTCTAACCGGCACTCTCCATATGACACTGTAATCCATATTTTTCTATTTGATGTTCACTGATATTCCTTTTATAACAAAAAAAGGCACAGTACTGTGACTGGAACGATACACAAATAACCCGCACATAGAAGAGAGGAGGTTATGACGACGTTTCGGTCCGACTTGGACCATTTACAAAGTAACACCAACCAGAAGTGGAGCAGCAGCAGCAGCGGCGGCAGCAGGAAATTAAGGAGGAGGAGCCAGTCAAATACAAAGAAAGGGAAGCACTGCAAGGGAGCTAGGTGCCCACAGAGGTGGGGGGAAGGGGAAGTGATGAAATAAATAATGAAGGAACAGAAACATGCGACAGAAGAAAGAAAGACAAAAAAGGAAAGAGGAAAAGGGAGAAGAAGAAAAAATAAGGAATCAGGTTAAATCACGGGTGTTCTGAAATTTGGAGCATTTTACAATGTAGTGGGAGAAGAAGGCATCTACAGAGAAAAGCCAGGACTAAGATTCATACAAGGAAAGTTGTGTATTAGAAAGGATTCAACTAGACGGCGACTGTTAGAGTTGGAAGAAGGGAAGACAGTTTTAGCGGAAGACCAGTCAGTAGGATGGCTGTGATCTCTGATGTGACAGAACAGAGCATTGTTAGTGTTGGCAAGCCTACCACTATTTTTGTGCTCCCTAAGTCTGTCAGAAAGAGATCGGCCACTTTCTCCAAAGTATTGAAGAGGACAAGAGGAGCAAGAAATAGAGTAGACACCAGGAACATCTGTAGAGGGAGGAGAGGCATGAACGAGATTAGTGCGAAGAGTGTTAGTCTGGCAGAAAGTAAGCTTGATGTCTAAGGGACGGAGAGAATTGTTGAGATTAGAAAGACCAGAAATGTAGGGAAGGCAGAGGACAGAAGAGTTCCTAGGAGTAGAGAGTTTGGGAGAGAAGAAATTACATTTAGCATGTGAGAAGGCAGAGTCTATGAAATGGGAAGGGTAGCCAAGATGGGAAAACGAATTATGAAGAGTGGAAATTTCTGCTGGAAGGAACTGAGGATCACAGATGTAGAGGGCACGGAGAAAGAGGAGATAAGAACACTTTTCTTGACAGGGGAAGTATGATAGGAACAGTAGTGAATGTACATGCCACTGTGCATAGCTTTTCGGTAAATGGAAAAGGAAAAACCTGTATCTGAGCGGTGGACATGGACATCAAGGAAAGGAAGCAAGGAATTAGATTCCCATTCAGCTTTAAACTTAATGGAAGGGGCAAGATTATTAAGAGCTTCAAGAAAAGGTTGGAAGAGACTGGAGTCATGAGGCCACAGAGCAAAGATGTCATCCACATGGCTGAGCCAGAGAGAAGGTTGCACATTGATAGTAGGAAGAAGAACAGTCTCGAAGTATTCCATGTAAAGATTAGCAAGGACAGGAGAGAGAGGAGAGCCCATAGCGACACCGAAGGTTTGAGAATAATATTTTCCTTGGAAGGAAAAGGAATTAGAGTCCACACAGAGGCGGATAAGATCAAGAAAGACTTCAATAGGTATAGGAAGATGTAGAAACCCTTCAAGGGCCTTATCTCTAAAGAAATCAAGAACATCATCAAGAGGGACATTGGTGAAGAGGGACTCAACGTCAAGACTAAGCATCTTACAGGTTGGGAGAGAGCGAACCCGTTCAATGAAGTCTTGAGAGTGACGGAGGTGGGCAGGAGAAAAAGTACCAAGAAAGGGAGTGAGGGTTTTGGCCAACCAAGAAGCAAGAGAATAAGAGACAGAACCTCTAGAGGATATGATAGGACGAAGAGGAATATCAGGTTTATGAGTTTTGGGAAGGCCATAGAAATAGGGAAGAGAGGGACAGATGACACGAAACCGTTGAACAAGGTCAAAGTCAGGAGGACAGAGGTCGGAGAGAGTCCTTAGTTTCTTGTTGAAAGTTCTCTTGATGCGATCAAGAGGGTTGGAAACGAGAGGAGTGTAGGTACGTGAGTCAGAGAGCAAGACATCAGCTTTACGGAGGTAATCCTCGTGATCAAGGATAACTACCGAATTACCTTTGTCAGAAGATAGTATGACAATGTTAGTGTTAGATTTAAGAGAAGAAAAGGCAAGTTGGTAACGGCGCGGAAGGTGGTGATTCTTGGAAAACAGACTAACAAGAGCAGGAAGGAGAGCGCCACGAAAAGTGGACAAGTCAGGAAGATTACGGGAGCGAGATTGACGAAAGGAATCAAAAGAGCTAATCAGGGCAATACCAGCGCGAGGAGTAGGCGAAGTGGCAAAGGAAAGGCCAAAACCAAGAAGTTCAAGCTCATACTGAGAGAGTGAGACAGAAGACAAGTTAGTAACACAGTCAGTGAGGGAGAATTTAGACCAAGGGCTAGCTGAGATGAGACATTGTAGTTTATTTTGAAGTTTAGAAGAATGAATTTGTGTTTATTTTGTGTATATCACTTTATGGTTGCACACGCTTATTTCCTGCCCTCTGTTCCCACTTGGGACTATCAGGAAAAGTAATTTTTGATGGAGCTCGACCACGCGTGACCTTCCCCCCCCCCCCCCTCTCTCTCTCTCTCTCTCTCTCTCTCTCTCTCTCTCTCTCTCTCTCTCTCTCCTCTCTCTCCTCTCTCTCTCTCTCTCTCTCTCTCTCTCTCTCTCTCTCTCTCTCTCTCTCTCTCTCTCTCTCTCTCTCTCTCTCGTCTCTCTCTCTGCTCTCTCTCTTCCTTCTGCTCTCTCTCTCTCTCTTCTCTCTCTTCTCTCTCTCTCTCTCTCTCTCCTCTCTCTCTCTCTCTCTCTCTCTCTCTCTCCTCTCCTCTCTCTCTCTCTTCTCTTTCTCTCTCTTTCCTCTCTCTCTCTCTCTCTCTCTCTCTCTCTCTCTCTCTCTCTCTCTCTCTCTCTCACACACACACCACACACACACACACACACACACACACACACACACACACACGAATGCAACTTATGTCATAACTGACAGTCAACTGTGCATAAATATAAAGGCACGGTGCTGTGACTGGAACAATAAATAACCCACATGTAGGAGACTGAAACTTATACCAACGAGTTAATGGTCCTAATCGAACCAACCATCACAAGTGTTAGTCTCCTACATGTGGGTTAAATGTGCGTATATACGTGCATGTTTGTACATACAGCCAGGTCTTAATTACTGCAAATAATGAATCCCTCATAGTGGTTGCATTCAAATTATATGTAATTTTTGTGCATAATTTGAAGAGTTTAGGAGTAAAAACTAGCATTAATTAATTTTCCACTAAATCAGAGTTAGCACTAATCGAGACCTGGCAGTATGTAAATAAATATGAACATGATAAGCTTGTTTAAAATTAAAAGTAATTTAATGCATAGTTTTTATTTTCAGATAGTCTAGATGCTCTGCTCTCTGGAATAGGACGCCTAGTTATCAACAACAAGAAGTTAATTGTAATGAAGCCAGTTGGTAGACCATCTAAACATAACTCTGTTCTGGGTAGAACACGCTTACCAGTCAGTAAGTTAAGTGGTGGTGATAATTCTGACAGGTTCAGTCAGAATGAAGTTATCAGGAACAAGATCGGCAAGACTTCTAAGCTTCCAGAAGCTCCCGAGACAAGTACAAAATTCAGTGCAATCAAAGTATCTGCATCAAGTAAGTCAGTGGGTAATATGGCCAACTTAGAATGTGAAGTTAACAATTTTGAGCCAAGTGTCCCATTTAAAGGAGCAGATTCTGACTGTATGTCCTCAACCAGTTTTGACCCAAGTGTTCCTTCCTCTTTGAGTGATAATGACTGTAAGTTAAAACCCAGTGTGGCAGGAAGTCTTCCTCCAGTAGTGCCCAACTCGCAAGTCATGGGTATGAATAATGGTGCAAGAACTGGCAGTATGTCTGATTCTTCTTGTATTTCTTGTGGCAAGGACACAGCAACACTACATCACATTCACACAACACAAATACCATCTCAAGGTAATAAAAGAAAAACAATTAATTGTAATTCTCAAAACAAAAGAGGCAGATTTATGTCAGAACAAGTGAAACCTGATTCTTTAAATTTAAAAGCTCAAGAAAGTGTCTACAATTTAGCCAGTTCTGCAAGTTCATATACAAGAGGGGAGAATAATTTAGCCAAGCTTGGCAGCCCTGATGAAGACCCACCTGATGTTGTAGTCAAGCTTGGCAGCCCTGATAAAGACTCGCCTAATGTTTTAGCCAAGCTTGGCAGCCCTGATGAAGACCCACCTGATGTTGTAGTCAAGCTTGGCAGCCCTGATAAAGACTCGCCTAATGTTTTAGCCAAGCTTGGCAGCCCTGATGAAGACCCACCTAGTGCTTTAGCCAAACTTGGCAGCCCTGATCAAGACTCGCCTAGTGTGTTACCTGTACTGAAGAACACTAGCTCAGAAACTCTAGACATAGATGTTGTGAAAGAAAGTGAAGATTCTGACAAAATTATTTCACAGAACAGTGAAATGGTAATTCCAATAATAACTGAAGTCACCTCCCTTGCTGCTATGTCAAGGAAGCTGGGAAGTATATCTAATGATCAGTCAGAAATTTCTGAGTTATTTCAGAATAATGATAATGACTCTTCTATAGTTATGAATGTGATGAGTTCTGATAACTGGACACTAAATGAACCTCAGTGTTCAGATACATCAGTGTTGCCTCAGTTAATACATTCCGAGACAACTTTCCCTCGCTTGTGGTCTTCAGGTAAAGGTAAACCTGGTCGAAGTTTCCAAGATAATTTGTGTACTGTGTCTTCTAAAACAACACCCACTCCTGTTGCACCTTCCAGTAGTACAAACAATACTGTAAATAATAACAGTGTTATTCCCATTAATACTTCCAAAGGTGCTGCTGCAGTGCTTCCAAATAGTGTGTCATCCAGTGTTCCCAATGTTTCCAGTTGTATTCAAACATGGCAGAGAGTATTCTCATGGATGGTATATAGAGAGAGTGATCATTCCTTCACATGTAGAATATGTGACTGGGGAGCTGTACAGTTAACCTCTGAGGTAGTGTTTGCTCTGACAGATCCCACCGAGGTGTATCTCGTGGCTGGGAATCTGCGTAGCCACCAGGAAACTCGTTCTCATAAAATGATGGCCTTCAAGACATCCCTTATCATAACTTTCTTCAAAACTATTTATCCTACTTTAAAGAAAAACTTGTATAAAGGACTTGATGATATCATAAGCTCCGTTGTCAACCTCTGTGGTGGAATATTTCCTGGACCGCGAGTGTCCCCACAGAAAGAGTACTTTACGTCCTACATGATTAAACACATTGCTGAGTGCTTAGAAATAAATCTCATTGAATCTCTCACAAATAGTCCATTCTTCAGCATAATTGCTGTAGAAGGTAAGGATTTTGCTATCCTCCGATGGCTAAACCAAAAAGGTGAACCAGTCGAACACTTTTTGTGTTCCAAAATATTCTGTTCAGTTGAAGGCATGACAATTACAAGTTATCTTCAGAAGAAGAAAGTTGACACAACGAAGATGATTTTGTTTAGGCTCTTCCCCAGCAGCACAGAGAGACCTTCACCCTTCATCACAGTATCACAGTTGCCGGTGCGTTATCCACCTCTCAGTCAACTGATGAATTGGCTGCAGAAAATGGATCTATTTAAAGATACCTTTACTCATCTCGAGGCTTTAACTCGACTCTGCAAGTCTTCACATCCCAGGCTGAATAACTTCCCTGAAACAGCTGAGATAGCTCAGTTTGAGGAACCATTTAGTCATGCCTGTTTATTGAACAAGAGAGTTATTAAATTTTTTATGGGGAATGTTGGTAAGCTTAAAGCAATTTGCAATGACATTTACATAAAAACTGGATGTTTGGACGCTCTTAGTATAAGCAAGTTGGAATTGCGGAAGAGTGAGTCACTGCAAAATTGTGTGTCACTTCTTCTTAAACTGCAAGAAGTGTTTAGTAAAGAATGTTCATACTTTCACCTGTTTGAACTGATCAAGGACTTCAGATGTAGTGTGTGTAAGAAACTGAAGTCAGTGAAAAATTGTGATCCTGATGAGTATGCAGTCTTGTCCCTGCTGGACGTATATCTCTCTCATGTCATCATCTCTTTACTTACTCCCGAACAAAAATTTGCAAATATCTTCATCAGAAAGTTAAGCAGAATAAATGTAAATGATATTGAACAGATTTTAAAGCATTTAAATATTCAATTTACGGAAGGAGCTATGCAGTGTTTCATGAGCTTGCAAGAGCTTCACACAAGATTGTCCAAACACCGGGATTGCAATATAATTGAACTCTTGAACAATTTTTCCATTGACCCCAAATTGTGCAAAGATTTCCCACAACTGTTCCACTTGTACCAGAAGATTAAAGTCGTGCCATTTCTGCGTGCTTGCACCGAACAGTACATGTTCAACTTGGCAGTCTTAGAGATGCTTTCCACTGACACAGTGGAGAAGAGGCTCTTACCTTCACTCTCTTTAATTGCACTGGAAGGTCCTCCAATGGAGGACATTAATTTAGACCTCGTCCTGGATCTCTGGTCGAAGAAATGGAAAATGTTTATTGAGAGAAAGTAATCATGTTCTGAGGTTTCTAGTACATTTTTTTTTTTAGTTGTTAATGAAGAGAAAGTATGTTTATATTGGATGGTATTTAGAATTAGCCTTTATAAAAATTTTGTTTATTATATTTATGTAGTTATACAGTCAGTTCTCTCATTAAGCTTCTTTATGTGAAAGTAAGCATAGTATGTGCAGGTTAATTTAATTTTTTATCTTATTCACTAAAACACACACACGCACACATCGAACTTAATTCATTCCGGATATCAGTTCAACAACCAAACCAATTTTTCCCATAAAGAATAATGTAAATAGAATTAATCCATTCCAGACAAAAATGACAATATAATAATTTATTAATAATAACCTACTACTACATAAAACAATATATAAAATTATACAGCATAGGGAAATTGTAAAAATGAATACTAAATGAAAATTTAACTGAAATACTGTACAGTAAATGAAAATTTAAGCCTTTGAGTGTCGAGACCCCTGGTCATAAACTTGCTCATAGTGTCGAAGAATTTAAAACAAAAATATTTTTATGAAATGATAGAGAATTTTTTTCCGAAGGTAATGAAACCAGAAGTTCGAAATTTGATGAAAAACTTAGGGAATTTCGCTCTCGTGAAGTTAACTGTCTCGGCAATATTTATGCCATTTTGGGTCAATTCCTTTGTTCCACCTGACCAAACTCATAGCTATTTTGCTAGAACTTTTATTCTATCGATTGAGTACAAGAAACTACTCATTTACCTATTTCAACTACACAAATAATGATCAGAAATTACTAATTTGGTCAATTTCACCCAAAATTCAAGAAAAGCCAGTTTCAAAATAGGGTCCAGAATAAATAAGGCAGACATTCCTGGTACTAAAATAACATTTTCTCTGTTCATTAGTCACATCTCCTGACCCCTCTTATATTACGCTAGCTTTTTATTTTGAATTTTTATTCACACACAAAAAAAGATGATTTACCGTTATTCAGACTACTGCATAATTGTATAAATAATATCAGTGCATTCATAAATGCATATAAGACCCACCAGTTGATGTGTATTGGACGTGTGACGTGATTTGTATATTCTTGAACATTGGCAAAAATCGAACATTTTCGCTACTTTGAGCTCAACTTCAAGCTGCTTTTAGTTGGTAAACCATTCAAAATTACCTCTATTTCTGTAGTATATCTTCCATTCTATCAAGCGAGACCAAGAAAATGAATACCATATGAAAATACACTGCAAAGTTGCTGGGTTAAACCAAAAACATGGTCTCAGTTTTTTTTTCTCATGCACTGCTTGCTCAGGATTTGTTTTTATACTGCACACACTGACCATGCAGACCAATTCTCTCATATGTAGACCTACCAGCTTTCTCTCCTATGTAGGCCTACCAGCTTTCTCCCATATGTAGGCCATCCAGTTTTCTCCCATATGTAGGCCTACCAGCTTTCTCCCATATGTAGGCCAACCAGCTTTCTCCCATATGTAGGCCTACCAGCTTTCTCCCATATGTAGGCCTACCAGCTTTCTCCCACAAGATTTGAAGCCGCTAGAATTTTGGTGTAGTATTACGGGACCGACACTGGCTTCAAAGCCATAATATTACGGCACCAACACCAAACAGGTTAACCACTTCTTACCTGTCAGAGGAGAGCTAATGGCAAAATTTTAGAGGCTTCAAATCTTGTGGGAGAAAGCTGGTAGGCCTACATGTGAGAATGGGTCTTCATTGTTGTTGTGCACAGTAAAAAAAAAAATCCTGCAACACAGTTCATTGTGAAAAAAACTGCAACCTTGTTTTTGGTTTGCAACTGACTTTACGGTGTATTTTTGCATGGCATTTATGTTTGTACCGCCTCTCCTCACTTAACGATGGAGTTCCATTCCTAAGACCACGTCGGTAAACAAATTCATCATTAAAAGCAACTTGGTGGTGTTTGCATCACTTATATGTTTTAATGCACCTTGTATATATTTGTAACAGCCTCTCTCACTTAGCGAGATCATTCCAATGGACTACAGCTCGGTAAACAAAATCATGAAATTAAGTTGATTCTCATCTTTTTGAAATATTGTTAGTTAAAAGGTCACCTTTAGTACCATTTATAAAAATATTTTAGTATACAGCCTCTCACAGTATCAACTTTCACTACTATCATTTACGACAACTCGGACGTAACATATCTCATCTGGCAGTAGCAAAAACCAAAATAAATTTGAAATATTAAAGAGTTGATTTCCTCTATTTGTAATTATACAGTAAAGAAGATCATTTAGCATGGTTGTTACGTTCCTGAAAATGATGTGTTAGGTAAAAGCGTGTTAGATGAACTGAAGAACTTAGGTGAAAAATAGGGTTACGTTCCTGGGATCCCCCAAAAAGTCAAACAACTTTTTTTTAGGCCTCCACATCTTACAAAAATAAAAGTGAAAATGTAGTTTTAGTTCATTGTTGTGATGTATTATGTTGTTTTTACTACTTAAGACTACAAATGTAACATAAATAATAGTATTTCTTACCTTAAATTGTGGATGCTGGTGTTTGTGGATGATTGTGAAGAGAGTGGAGAGTTGTGCTGTGGTCCTACTGGGCTGAGGTGGATGATAGAGGTTCTGGTACTGAAGTTGATGGTTGTACTGGAGTGTCTAACTTTAAGTCATTCAGTCAGTCAAGGCATTCAGTAAGTCAGTCAAGTCATTCAGTCCCCCAGTCAAGTCATTTAGTCAGCCAGTCAAGTCACTCAGTAAGTCAGTCCAGTCACTCAGTAAATCAGTCAAGTCATTTAGTAAGTCAAGTCACTCAGTAACAGTCAAGTCACTCAGTCACTCAAGTCAGTCAGTCAAGTCACTCAGTAAGTCAGTCAAGTCACTCAGTAAGTCAGTTGAGTCATTCAGTAAGTCAGTCAAGTCATTCAGTAAGTCAGTCAAGTCATTCAGTAAGTCAGTCAAGTCATTCAGTAAGTCAGTCAAGTCATTCAGTAAGTCAGTCAAGTCATTCAGTAAGTCAGTCAAGTCATTCAGTAAGTCAGTCAAATCACTCAGTAAGTCAGTCAAGTCATTCAGTTAGCCAGTCAAGTCACTCAGTAAGTCAGTCAGTTCAGTCAGTCATTCACACAAATTCATGTTTACTTCTTTTTCTGTGTACAAAGTAACACTTCATTAATGGCTACAGGTTATCTCTTGTCTAATATCTTTGTTAGTTTGTTAATTTTAAGACTTAAGTGCTTATACCTTTTCTTGCCACTTTCAGCAACACTGGTATGTCTACTGGGTGTCATGATTGCTTGGCAGATACAAGATATAGTAATTCAAATATCATAACACAATTCACAAACACAGCTGTCTTGTAGCAGAGAAAGACTGGACATGTATGAATTACGAACGCTGGATGGTGGGGCGGTGTCGGGGAGTGGTAGGGAATGGTGGGGCGGTGTCAGGGAGTGGTAGGGGATGGTGGGGCGGTGTTGGGGAGTGGTAGGGGATGGTGGGGCAGTGTCGGGGAGTGGTAGGGGATGGTGGGGCGGTGTCGGGGAGTGGTAGGGGATGGTGGGGCGGTGTCGGGGAGTGGTAGGGGATGGCAGGAGGGCTCCCCGGCTGCTCCACAACAAGGCGGCCACTTGAGCAAAAGAGAATTTTTGTTTTCCTTCCCACAAACTGAACCGTGTTAAATTGTGCCACAATTCTTCAATCGTGCAATACCCAAATCGTGCCAAATAAACTCGTGCTAAATGACGGCCTACTGTACAATATACATTACACTACTGCATATAAACATTTAAAAATATACCAGAAATGTTATAAATGGTGCAAAGGTGACATTAAAACAATATCAAAGATGGCTGATACAAGCTCACTACCATTATAGTATGCTCCTCGCTTAGCGTCGAATTCGCTTACCAACGAGGTCTTAGGAACGGAACTCCGTCATTAAGTGAGGAGAGGGTGTATTTTTAAATATTTATACAGCAGTATACTATACATTGTAATAAACATAATGAAGGAAATTAGCTCTAATATACATTATTTAGGTATACATACTGATCATAAAGCCCATTGGAAGTCCAAGTTGTTTGGTAAATGAGTACGTAGCTAAGTGAGGAGGGGCTGTATTGCATTCACACTTTTGAATGTATTGCAAAAAAAGAATCTTACTATTTAGGATCCAGTCATCACGTATGAGCCCTGATGAAGTGAAAATGGATATTGGCAGTCATGCTTATTATGCCTTATATCTACAAGCACAGTATAACACTTTGTCTGCATTTTTTTGGTTATCCTAGGTAATTTACACTGTGTATGTTAACTGTGCTTATGTGTACCTGTGAGATAGAGACAGATACAGAGATAAACAGAGACAGTGGTAGACAGATACAGACAGACAGTCAATCAGCCAGCCAGCCAGCTGGCCTGCTGAACACGCATTACACACATTCCAGTATCGTTTCTTTTTACTTAGGGTGTAGGTTATAAGACACTCTGGCAAGATGACACTACCAGTGGTATCAAAATTGAAAGGGTGTTGCAGGTGGGTTATTATCGAGGTTTTTTTTATATTTCCTCAACCACACGTGGCCACATCATCTCAAAGCCACTAAAGTCTGGGTCAGCATCACTTAACTCTTAATCCTTTCACTGTTGCAAGCCCTATTCTGAAACTGTCTTCATATGTCACATAATATTCGAAAACAAAAATTTTTTTTCTTACCAAAATGTTAGGATTAATTTGCTGAGTGTTTTAAGCCTTAACCCTTTGACTGTCGCAACCCCCAATCCTGAGGTGTCTCCTGGTGTCGCAAAATTTAAAAAAAAAAAAATTATTTTTTCTTATGAAATGATAATCTTTTCCCGATTGTAATGACACCAAAAAAAAAAAGAAATTTGATGGAAAACTGACGGAATTATGCTCTCGCGAAGTTAGCGACCTCAGCGCTGTTTACAAATCGGCGATTTCGCCCACTTTGAGCCCTATTTTCAGGTAATTTCATTATTCCAGTCGCCCAAACTCATAGCTATTTCTTTAGAACTCTATTTTTTCTATCGATTGAGTACAAGAAACTGCCCATTTACCGATTTCAACTACCTAATAATGTGGTCAGAAATTTGCAATTTGGCCAATTTCACGAAAACTAAAAAATATGACAATTTCAAAATAAGGTCCAGAATAAACAATGCAGACATTCCTGGCTCTAAAATAACATTTTCTTTGCTCATCAGTCATGTCTCCAGGCCCCTCTAATATTACTCTTGCTTTCTATTTTGAATTTTTATTCAAACAAAAAATAGAAGACTTACTATTATGCAGACTACTGCAATACTGTAATAATTGTATAAATAACATCAACCCATTCATGACTGCATATTAGAATGGCTAGTTGGACATTTATTGGACAATGGCATCATTTGTTTACTTTTGAACATTGGCAAAAATCAAACATTTCCCCAACTTTGAGCTCCATTTCTAGGTTCTTTTTATAGTAAAATCAATCAAAATCACCTCTATTTCTATAATATGTTTTCCATTCTATCAAATGAGACCAAGAAAACGAGAATACAACAATAAATACTATACGAAAATAGACCACAAAGTTGGCATTTTAATTAAAAAAAAACGGTCGGAGTTTTTTTTTCTCATTATGCACTGTGTGCTCCAGGATTTTTTTATATGGTGCACACTGACCACACAGACCCATTCTCTCACATGTGGGCCTACCAGCTTTCTCCTGCTTGATTTGAAGCCGCTAGAATTTATGAGTACAGTGGACCCCCGGTTAACGATATTTTTTCACTCCAGAAGTATGTTCAGGTGCCAGTACTGACCGAATTTGTTCCCATAAGGAATATTGTGAAGTAGATTAGTCCATTTCAGACCCCCAAACATACACGTACAAACGCACTTACATAAATACACTTACATAATTGGTCGCATTCGGAGGTGATCGTTATGCGGGGGTCCACTGTATATATACGTCAAACACGGTACCTCGTAAGACGTATATATACGGCCTGTTGGTGGGTCTGTTGGTAATTCCCCTTATGTGTGCTGGGAGGCAGTTGAACAGTCTCGGGCCCCTGACACTTATTGTATGGTCTCTTAACGTGCTAGTGACACCCCTGCTTTTCATTGGGGGATGTTGCATCGTCTGCCAAGTCTTTTGCTTTCGTAGTGAGTGATTTTCGTGTGCAAGTTCGGTACTAGTCCCTCTAGGGTTTTCCAGGTGTATATAATCGTGTATCTCTCCCGCCTGCGTTCCAGGGAATACAGGTTCAGGAACCTGAAGCGCTCCCAGTAATTGAGGTGTTTTATCTCCGTTATGCGCGTTCCGTGAAGGTTCTCTGTACATTTTCTAGGTCAGCAATTTCACCTGCCTTGAAAGGTGCTGTTAGTGTGCAGCAATATTCCAGCCTAGATAGAACAAGTGACCTGAAGAGTGTCATCATGGGCTTGGCCTCCCTAGTTTTGAAGGTTCTCATTATCCATCCTGTCATTTTTCTAGCAGATGCGATTGATACAATGTTATGGTCCTTGAAGGTGAGATCCTCCGACATGATCACTCCCAGGTCTTTGACGTTGGTGTTTCGCTCTATTTTGTGGCCAGAATTTGTTTTGTACTCTGATGAAGATTTAATTTCCTCGTGTTTACCATATCTTAGTAATTGAAATTTCTCATCGTTGAAGTTCATATTGTTTTCTGCAGCCCACTGAAAGATTTGGTTGATGTTCGCCTGGAGCCTTGCAGTGTCTGCAATGGAAGACACTGTCATGCAGATTTGGGTGTCATCTGCAAAGGAAGACACTGTGCTGTGGCTGACATCCTTGTCTATGTCAGATATGAGGATGAGGAACAAGATGGGAGCGAGTACTGTGCCTTGTGGAACAGAGGACCCATCTTGTTTAAGTAGGGGCCCAATACTGG